ATATATAGGTATATATGAAAAATATATGAAAATGCATGTGGGTACTCAAATGAAAGCTCTTGATGAGTGTAACATCGGGATGAGCTTATATCTTTAAAAATGTCAATAATTAAGTACTGACATTACTATCTTGTCAACTAATGATATTTTTAAAGATATAAGCTCACCCCGACATTATACTCATCGAAACCTTTCATTTGAGTACCCACATCAATTTTTCATATATTTTTATATATTATATATATCACATACATATATATATGGAAAATATATCAAAACTGCATGTGGGTACTCAAATGAAAGGTCTCGATGAGTATAATGCCATGGTGAGCTTATATCTTTGAAATATATATATGAAAAATATGTCAAAAATGCATGTGGGTACTCAAATGAAAGCTCTTGATGAGTGTAACATCGGGATGAGCTTATATCTTCAAAATCGTCAATAATTAAGAAAGTACAGTGCAATTTAACGAAATTCATTATGTTACTACAAGCAACTCAATTCTCTTCAACTTAATTTTGTCACATAGTGACTGCGCGATTGCTTGTTTTGCGTAAAACAGTTAGTTTATACGGTAAAATTAGTTAAGAAATAAATTTCTTATATACCGATCAACAATTTATTGAGTAGCAATAAATAATTTGTTAAATACTACTAAATATTTATTTGGCGAAAATAAATGGGCTTTAATAAATCAGTTAGTAACTATTATTATACTAAATATGTGGTAATTAAAGGTTTGTTACTAAACCTCATTAAATAAAATTAATTACAAGGACAAAAACCGGATGAAGACAATTAAAATATTGTCAAAAATGAAAGAGACATTGAAAATAATGAAAAAAGAATGTTTAAAAATGTAAACATAGTACAGAGGGTGTAATTCCTCATCCACATTTATTTTTCAGTGTATAAAAAATTGTAGACTGTAGCGTCTACTCGGGAATCGGAAAATAGAATGAAAACCTACTTTGGAGTAGGTTTTTTCATGCGATTCACTCCCTTTCATTCTCAATGCAATGCTATGGAACTAAACCGAGTAGAGAGTAGAGAGTAAAGAGAGAAAGAGATGTTGCAATGTTGCAACAACCTTTTCCACTAACTTTACTATAATACAACGTTAACGTCTCTGTACATTCGGCAAAAGTAATATATCTGTATATCTGTATACACATTGAGCTCTCTTGCCAGAACCGACACTTGTCTGAGTCTGGAAAACAATAAAAGCTTGAAAGCTTTCAACTCAGGTGATGCCGGCCTTACTATACCTCACAACTACCGAGTTGCGGATATTATATATACCTATGCTTTTTTCATTTACTTCCTTTCTAAGCAGAGTTTACGGAGTTTACCGAGTAGGGAAAGAAGGCCCGCGATCTCATTTTGGTCCGTGCAATACTTCTTTTTTTCGATTTATTTTCGGGCAACTCTTTACTGACTTTTATCTCCAGTTAAAAAGGTTATTTTGTGAATGCCCCTTTTGTTTTTATCTTTATTATTTTTTTTTTTTTCCAAAGGTAGAGCTCTAGAAAAGGACGAAGGGCGGGAGGAGGAGGAGGAGAGAATGATTCATTTGGATTAAAAAGTATTGTGACAGCTAAAGAGGGTGGAAATTTTTTTTAATGGTCCTGGGTTTGTTTCTTAGGGGGAGAGTTTGCTTGTCTTTATTTTCCAGAAGTAATTAAAGGGGTAATTAGTTTAATTTTTGCGGTCGGTGACTTTTTTTTCCCGAGTCTTGTTTATTTACTTAACTTTATATCTTTCTATTGAAATTTTATTACAATAGAAATTTTTAATTAACGAGATAACATAGGGTAATTTATAATTTTTTTTTCTTTACTGTAAAATTAACTTGTTTCATATAAAGTTTAAATTTTAATTAGGAAGCTTGATGTGTAAACAGTCATTAAAAATTTTTAGATTGAATACTGAATTTATATTAATATAATTGAATCGTTTATTTGAGAAACCCCATAAGTCATATGGGGTTTCCATATGACTTATGCGGTTTCTCAAATAAACGATTCAATTGTAAATAAGATATTAATGTTATACGAGCAACCAAGCAGTCACTTTGTAACTTCCATGACTTGTGAAGTATAAATAAATAAAATTTTGCTTCATTAAATAATGAATTTTGTTAAGTTGCACTGTCCTTTCTTAAATATTGGCATTTTTAAAGATATAAGCTCATCCTGATGTTACACTCATCAAGAGCTTTCATTTGAGTACCCACATGCATTTTTGATATATTTTTCATATATACATATATATAATATATATAAATATATGATATATATGAAAAATTGATATGGGTACTCAAATGAAAGGTCTTGATGAGTGTAACATCGGGATGAGCTTGTACCTTCGAAAATGTCAATAGTTCAAAAGATACAAGGTCATTTCTTAATTATGTAATGTATATAATATATATTTTAAAGATAAAAGCTCATCCCGATGCTACACTCATAAAGAGCTTTAATTTGAATACCCACATCAATTTTTTCATATATTTTTATATTTATCATATATATGTACATATATATAATATATAAAATATATGAAAAATTGATGTGGGTATTCAAATGAAAGGTCTCGATGAGTGTAATGCCATGGTGAGCTTATATTCTTAAAAATGTCAATAGTTCTCAAGATACAATATCATTTCTTAATTATATATCTAGAGATAAAGAATTTTGGAATGCAGCCTAAATATCATCATAAATTGACTATCAATAAGAATGATATGAAATAAAAATTTCTGACTAAAGTAAATTTAATTAACTATCGAAATTTCTAGCTTCTATTAAATTAAATGACCTAACATAAGACTTTTTAATTAAAAATTAAACAATAAATGAAATTAAAACAGAGCGTCCAATTAAGAAAATAAAAATAACCAAAAAAAAAGTATCGAGGAATGATCATGAATGATGATGATGATAATGAAAAGAAAAGAAAAAAATCTAAACAAATGTAGGATTATAAATATAAAACTAATTAGTAATTGCAGGTGGTAGTTAGACCGTGTAACCTCTTGGCAGTTATCCTGGTAATCGTGTCATCGACCTCTCATCCATCACTCTCGCCATAGCAGCAGCCCCAGACAACTGACTCAAGTATCACCCTTTCTCTCTCATCCTTCTCCTTTCATACTAAGTTTTATTACAATTACAATTACAATTACAATTACTAACAGAGTTGCTTACGCTCTTAATAATTGCGCGGCGCCTCGAATCATGCCAATTATAATTATGTAGCCTGATTAGAGACTAAGAGAGTGAATGGTGCATGGGAGCCTGCCAGAGCTCAACACGCTAGAATAGTAAAGCGAAGAGCTGTAACTTAATAACACCAGAATAACAGAAAACAGAAAACATAAAACATAAAGCTCATGTTATGTAATATAATGCTAACTCTTGTAAGCCATTCTCATTTGTTCCCTTCGAGCTACCTCAAGGTACAATACACGGGAATGCGTTTGTTTAGGCAAAGTATAAACAGTAAACAGTTAACTGTAACCGAGTGTTGTTTGCTTTAATTCCTCAGGTACGGCTTTTCTGCTACGGGAAAAACTACTCTAAATTTTTGAAGGGTAAATAATTGAACAATATCAAGTGACAAATGCCAAAACATATTTTAATTCTCGAAAAATCTATGGCTTAAATTATATGTGAGTGACTTTAAGAGTGAAAATATAAAATATTAATAATATTTTTACTAGCAACCTTGCAGTCACTAAGTATGTGACTGCAGTGAATTGTGAACTATAAATAAATAAAATTGGGATTTATTAAATAATGATTTTTGTTTCATTGCACTGTACTTTCTTAACTATAGACGTTTTTAAAAATATAAGCTCATCTCGATGTTACGCTCATCAAGAGCTTTTATTTGAGTACCCACATGCATTTTTGATATATTTTTCATATGTACATATGTATAATATATATCAATATATATAAAATATATGAAAAATTGATATGGGTACTCAAATGGAAGATTTCAATGAGTGCAATCTCGGGATGAGCTTATATCTTTAAAAATGTTAATAGTTCACGAGATACAAGGTAATTTCTTAATTATATAACATATATGATATATATTTTAAAGATATAAGCTCATCCTGATGTTACACTCATCAAGAGCTTTCATTTGAGTACACACATGGATTTTTGATATATTTCTCATATATACATATATGTGATATATATATAAATATATAAAATATATGAAAAATTCATGTGGGTGCTCAAATGAAAGGTCTTCGTGAGTGTAACATCAAGATGAGTTTATATCTTTAAAAATGTCAATAATTCTCAAGATACAATTTCACTTCTTAATTACTGACATTTTTTAAGATATAAGCTCATCCCGAAGTTACACTCATCAAGAGCTTTCATTTGAGTACTTACATGCATTTTTTATATATTTTTCATATATATACATATATATAAATATATAAAATATATGAAAAATTGATGTGGGTACTCAAACGAAAGGTCTCGATGAGTGTTACATCGAGATGAGCTTATATCTTTAAAAATGTCGATAGTTCTCAAGATACAAGGTCATTTCTTATTCATGTATCTAGAGATTTTTCGAATACAGTCTAAATACTTATCATAAATTTAAACTGTTCTGAGTCTAAAAATTGTCAAAAGCTTATTGACTAGAATTTCAATTGAAAAACTTTGCTTTATTTATTACAAGAGTGTAAGGGGGGTAAAAAATGAAGTTAGTTTGTAGTATTATCGAGCTGACTAATTAACCAAGCCCTATAGTGTAGTTACTCCGTATACCAGAAGGGAGAGGGAGAAGTAATGTGTCAAAGTTGTGAATTAAATCGTAGCGAATTCATAAACTCCTGGGGCTGTTACCGAGTTTCCAAGTGAAAGTTACAAGTTGGGGTGTCGGTAGCGGTAGCGCTGTTGCTGTTATTGTTGCGCTCGGTTCCGGTGGGTTGTTTAGAGGTGGTAATGGGAAATATGTTCCAGGTGTCAGCGGGCTAAAGGATGTTAAGGTGGAAATACCCGAGGCGGTCGCAGTCGGGTCTCAAGTGACGCTCACATGCCGGTACGACCTCCAGACCGACGTTCTCTACGCGGTCAAATGGTACAAGGGCAAGGACGAATTTTACAGGTTTGTGCCCAAGGAACTGCCCCCACTTCTCGTATTTGGGAACTTATTTGCTCACAATATTGATGTAAGTAATTGACTTTTAATTATTTTTCCCAATCTTTGGCTCAAATTTTCTGAATTTAATTTTTTCTTTTAACTATTGATGGTAAAAAAAAAATTTTGTAATGGACAAATTGTGTACCCCAGGCTCCAAGTTTAAATATAAATAAAAAATAAAAGTTCGACTCGTATAAAAGGGCATGGAATTTCCTACCTTTTTATAACTTACTAACAAAAAATAGCTTTTATATATCTGTATGAATATATTCATGAATCTAACAAAGGGTTTTTAATTTCGAAATAAAACTTAATGAAACTTAAGCATTAATGAATTTTTTTCCATTTTCCGAACATACTTTTTCATATAAAACTTTTTTTATATTTATTTTAAGTAATTCAACAATAATAAAAAACAAAGTTAATTTTTTTAAGGTCTTTGTACTTAGAGAAAAATTTATTAATTTAAGAATTTTTTTACTCAAATTAAAAAGATGAAATTCTTCAAAATTATTTATTTGATTTAAGACATATATAAAATCGGTTTTTAGTTCGAAAATACTCTATTTCTAGATACATAATTAAAAAATGACCTTGTATGTTGTAAACTATTGACATTTTTAAAGATATAAGCTCATCGTGATGTTATACTCATCAAAAGCTTTCATTTAATACCCACATCAATTTTTCATATATTTTATATATTTATATATATGTATATATGAAAAATATATCAAAAATGCATGTGGGTACTCAAATGAAAGCTCTTAATGAGTGTAACATCAGGATGAGTTTATATCTTTAAAAATGTCAGTGGTTGACAAGACACAAGTTTATTTTTTAATTATTGATATTTTTAAAGATATAAGCTCATCCCGATGTTACACTCATCAAGAGCTTTCATTTTTTCATATATATTATATATATGTATATATGAAAAATATATCAAAAATGCATGTGGGTACTTAAATGAATGCTCATGATGAGTGTAACATCAGGATGAGCTTATATCTTTAAAAATGTCAATAATTAAGAAATGATTTTGTATCTTGTGAACTATTGACATTTTTAAAGATATAAGCTCATCCCGATGTTACACTCATCAAGACCTTTCATTTGAGTACCCACATCGATTTTTCATATATTTATATATAAATATATGTATGTATGAAATATATATAAAAATTGCATATGGGTACTCAAATGAAAGCTCTTAATGAGTGTAACATTAGGATGAGCTTATATCTTTAAAAACATCAATAGTTAAGAAAATACAGTGCAATTTAAACAAAAGTCATTATTTAATGAAGCAAAATTTTTGTTTATCTATAGTTCACAAATTATAGTTCACAAATCACGGCAATTACATAGTGACTGCATGGTTGCTAGTTTGCATTAATTATATTACATTTTAATAACGTTTATTATAAAATACCAAATTCTATCACAGCTTATGATTATATTTTATATTTTTGAATATTATAAACGTTAATTTATTCAGTGAATTTAATTATTATCATGTATTCCAGCTATAGGGTTACAAAAAGTGTCAAAAGAAAATAGCTATTTTTTGCTTTTTTATTTTAAATAAATATTTGTCAACAGTTAACAAATATTCATTAACCATTAATAAATATTTATTAACAGTTAATAAATCTTATTAAATGTAAACAAATCCTTCTATCAATGTAGAAAAGGGGAAAAACTTTTATTTTATAATACTTATCGGAAAGTAGGTACTTAAAGAGACAAGAAGTTGATTATAACGTTGTAAAAAAAAAAAGATACTACAATAATAATCATAATAATAATAATAATAATAATAATAATAATAATAATAATAATAATAGACTATTATAGTCCGCATGATTGAAACTCGATCATGTGTACCTATAACGCGTTTGTGCTACTTAATTTAAGTGCAGAGTTCACTCGGGAATTCCCACACAGAGGAAACACACACGATATAGGTACACAAGCAAGTCCTATCGGTGTACTTGATGCTGTAACATCACTCGCTTTATATGACGACAAGTCAAAGAGCATCCGGATTTCTCTCTCGCTCCACAATGAATATGCCAATAACATAACCTCAATATAATTACCAGCATAATATATCCACACACGTTTTATACACAGTACGTGATCCGCAGGACTTATTGCCCCGACACAGTACATATATATCAATCGCTAATGAGCGTAAGAGCGATCCCATTGAAAAAGTCTATATGGGAAACCAGCCTGGATTTCCACATGGCGATTTTGGATAGATTCCCATATGGTTTCCTAAATAGAAATCCAGGGTAAGATCCTACATAGACTCCCATATGAATCAGGCGAAAAAAAGTTTATTTAAAAACTTAAAAATAATTATGAAGTAATTGCTATTAATTGAAATTAATTTTAAATAAATAATAGTTTAAAAAAACTAAAAACACGCTTTTTATAGAAAATCAAACTAAAAAATAGAAAATAATTTTTAATAAATCTAAATTAAGAATAGTGTTAAAAATTTCAATAAATATAAATTAATAATAGTGTGAATAAAAAAAAAATTATTTTATTTTAAAAAAAGCGTGGGTGCATGGTGTCAATAGTTATAAATGTTTTATTGACAGATATGAGTAGAGTGATTATCATTTTGATAATATCTTAAAAAGCACCCCACGCTTTTTTTTAAAATAAAATAATTTTTTTTTTATTTACACTATTATTAATTTATATTTATTGAAATTTTTAACACTATTCTTAATTTAAATTTATTTTCTATTTTTTAGTTTGGTTTTTTATAAAAAGCGTGTTTTTAGTTTTTTTTAAACTATTATTTATTTTTTACGTTTTAATTTGGTTTATTTATAAAAGCGTGATTTTTTAGTTTTTTTAAACTATTATTTGTTTTGTAGAATTAAAATTCTCCTTAGTATTCGAAAATTTGTCAATCTTAGAGAAATCGGCTAAAGACAATTATTGGAAATTAAAATTAACATCAAGTCCTGTCTTATCGACTGTAGAGAAAAAATATAAAAAATTAAAATTAAGTTTATTACCTTATCGACTATAGATGAAAATTATATAAATTAACAAAAATCATATTTTGCAAATTGAAAAATGGAATAATTCTATCAAATTAGTGTATTGTCATCGGTCCTCGATAAATCTACTAAGTTTAAACGAAATCTGGCCGTTTAAAGTGGGTCAAAATCGCGCCCAAAGAAGTCGGTTACAAACATACAAACATACAAACATACATATAGGTGAAGCTAATACAAAGCGTGTAAAAACGGATTTCGTAATTTTATCTAATGAAAAAACTGCTGGCGTCTGATGGACTTGAACCCGGTACCTCATGGTTGACAGTCTTCTACGCTATTCACTGGCCTAAGTCACGTTCTTACAAGGTCTATGTTTATTCCACTTGTATAAATTCACTACAAGAATCCATACTTCCGATATTTTTGATAGGGATCATAAAAAGCCCGTGATCATTTATTACCTGATACTTTTATTACCCGAAAAAAGCGATAAAATAATTTTTCCTTTGTTGAAAAACGGAAACATGTATGACGGGCGAGGGTGAAAAAAGGGTGGAGGATGCTTTTCGGCAATACACAGCACGGCGCCCCTGGTCAACCACTGCGCGTAAATTGTGCTTGTACTATTCTGAGCGAACAAGAGGAGGATTGTTGAGGGGAGGTGTTACTATTACTATTGAACAAAATTTCAATGCGCGTGCCAGTTACATACCGGGAAACCCGACTAAATTGATTGTAGATGATTTACATCCTGCTACGGGTATTATATATGTATTAAATTAATGAATTTCATAAATTTTGTTATTATATATGCTCATAGTAATAACAGTACTGTACTATACAGCATGGTAGTATGTTATTACGAATATGGGTAATAGTTCAAAGCCAAAGAGAAATTTTCAATAGACAAACTAACCACTGGGATAAACTTTATTAATAATAATAATAATAATAAATCATTGGTACTATATTATCATTAATTCATTACTTTAATTGATTTCATTCGTTACAAAGGATTAGATTTTCTGAGTGTAGATTTAATGTTGAAATCCTCGGACAGTACACGGAAAATGAATTATCTAGAGCTTGGAGCCGTAATTAACGAAATTCTATTCCTCTATGACAATTTGAGCCGCTAAATTATATTATTATAATTATAAATTGTTCAAATAAATGATGATAATAAATGATAATAATTCAATCCACTAAATAAATTAACATTTTTAATATTTAAAAATATAAAAGATAATTATGAGCTGTAATAGAATTTGGTATTTTACAATAAACGTTATTAAAATGTAATATAATTAATGCAAACTAGCAACCTTGCAGTCACTGTGTGATTACCGTGACTTGTGAACTATAAATAAACAAAAAAAATTTGCTGCATTAAACAATAACTTTTGTTAAATTGCACTGTATTTTCTCAACTATTGACGATTTTAAAGATATAAGCTCATTCCGATATTACACTCATCAAGAGCTTTCATTTGAGTACCCACATGCATTTTTGATATATTTTTCATATATACATATATATAATATATATAAATATATAAAATATATGAAAAATTGATGTGGGTACTCAAATGAAAGATCTCGGTGAGTGTAATGTCATGGTGAGCTAATATCTTTAAAAATGTCAATAGTTCACAAGATACAAGGTCATTTCTAAATAATGTATCTAGAGATAGAGTATTTTCGTACTAAAAACTGATTTTATCATACGACCATCCTGGAGTTAAAATTTTTTCATCAGTGTGAAAAGATAAAAATAAGTGAGAATTATATTTAAAAAAATCTTTTGAATGAATTCTTGTATAGTAAACGTAAATTGTTTAACCGACAATAAATAAGAGTAATAAAAATTGATTACAGAGGACCACAAGTGATGCTCACCATGTAACGATAACGAACGTAACAAACGAAATGGAGGGAAAATATCGCTGTGAAGTAACGAACGACATACCGGACTTTCATACACTGCGAAAAGTTGGATACATGCACGTAGTCAGTGAGTAGTCGACTCGACAAAGTATAATAATAGTAATAAGGAAAAAAATAATTAAAAAATGCTTAAAAGAACAATAAAATATAATGTTAGTTTAAATTGAGTGTAGAATAGTTGAGTTAATATTAAAGGTACATAAGGTATAAGTTGGAAATGGTTGAATCGTCGACGTAGACGTTACGCGCCATTTCAGATCCTCTGTAGGAGCAAAGTACCTTATACACCTTTACTTATATACCTTATAGTAGTAACAGTGTAAGAGTACCTCCAGTTTTTCCCAGTGGAACATTCTCAACAGATAGGGCTATATATTTCCAGGTCTACCTCAAGGTAGTCCCGAGGTGCTCGTTGAGAAGCAGAGATACGCGATTGGGGAGACAGTCAAAGCCAACTGTACCACTCCACCCAGTAATCCAGCCACTAATGTCACTTGGACTGTCAACGGAATTCCGGTAATACTCTCCCTTTTTTTCTGTCTATATTCTTTCTTCTTTTCTTTATATTACTATTGCCCTTGCTATTACTATTACTGTTCCTATCCTATTTCCGTTCGTTATATTACTTCTCAAATAAAAACTAATGATAATTAGATCTTCTGGATCAAATCGACCCGCTAACTTTCTATTCTATTATTATTATTACTCTATTTTTAATTACTTCTTTTTAATAAGTTTATTAACTGTTTTACTTAAAGTTTACTGACTAACAAGTGGGTTTCAATTAAGTCAATTATAATTTAAATGAACAATTTTAAAAAGACCGAGAGATTTTTTATTATTTAATAAATTATTTTTTGTTATTTAATACATCACGTTCTTAAAGATATAAGCTCATCCCGATGTTAAGCTCATGAAAAGCTTTCATTTGAGTACCCACATGGCATTTTTTATATATTTTATATATATATGATGTATGTAATATATATAAATATATAAAATATATGAAAAATTGATGTAGGTACTCAAATAAAAGGTCTCGATGAGTGTAATGTCAAAGCGAGATTATATCTTTAAAAATGTCAATAGTTCACAAGATACAAGGTCGTTTCTTAATTATTGACATTTTTTAAGATATAAGCTCATCCTTATATCACACTTATCGAGACCTTTCATTGAAGTACCCACATGGCATTTTTTATATATTTTATATATATGATATATGTAATATATATAAATATACAAAATATATGAAAAATTGATGTTGGTACTCAAATGAAAGGTCTCGATGAGTGTAACATCAGGATGAGCTTATATCTTTAAAAAGCTCAATAGTTCACAAGATACAAGGTAATTTCTCAATTATGTATCTAGAGACTACTTTCGAATGCAGCCTAAATATCATATTAAAATAACCATTGATGAAAATGATATAAAACCTCGAAAAGGCACAAATGCTAAGGCCTTTTTAATAAATATTTCGAGGACAAATGCGATAAAATTTACAAAAAACTTACCCAGCGCCGCCGGTGAAAAAAAAAGACAGCCCTTTAATTAACAAGCCGTAAACTCTAATCCGTGGAGTCTCGTCCCCCTAGCTTTGAAAAATATAATGTTAGACACATTTATAACTCATCCAAGTTTATTGCATTACCCCGGTACGATGAAATTTAGTAATAACCTAGGAAATATATTAACGTAAATGTTATGTTATAGTCCCAGTGTGGGATGCAGCAAAAGCTTAAAGCATGAGAATATTACAGTAGTATAGTTGTGTTGTGTTGGGTATAGCTAGTCGCGGTTGCATAACAAGATGCCATTTCACGAATTACTGAGCCACTACTACCTTGGGAAATATATATATATATATATATATATATATATATATATATATATATATATATATA